ATTACCAAAACACTACTTTCTTTCTTCCAAAGCCATAGATTTTTTCTATTTTATCGTTAGATTAATTTTTTTTTAATTTATATTTTTATTTATTTTATTTTTAAAAAATATTTGTATATAATATAATAAATAATTAAAATTAAGATATAATGATAAAATTAAAAATATAAAAAATATAAAAAATAAACCATAATTATCTAACAAATTTTAAATTAAAAAACCAAGAACAGAGAAAGGAAGTAGGGAGAATGTAAGAAGAGTGCCAGTGACTCTCTTTGGCACGATGATTTGAACTTTATTCGGATTCTGTTTCCTTATAATTGGTCCAAATGGGCTACAATCAAAGTGCATTTCATATCCTGTCCTGCATGATATTCTTCATCCCTGAAAACTTACCCACCTGACACTTATAATGGCCAAGAACAAGTCTGTGGCCCTGCTGCTACTCTCTCTTTTGGTGGTTCATTCTTCCCTCGCTGATCATAGAAATCACAGAATCTTTGATATCACTCACAGCATCGCCTCTGAACTGCCAATCTACGGATCCAAGAACGGCCTCGGCCATTTCATCCGGCTTGTCCACAGCATCAAGAATGGTTCTATTGCCAATGAATCAGAGTTCAAGCTGGGAACCCACACCGGCACCCATGTTGATGCTCCCAGCCACTTTTTCCAGAAGTACTATGATCAAGGATTTGATGTCACTACCCTTAGCCTAAAAGTGCTTAACGGTAATATTATCAATAATCTATTTCATTTCATCATAAACTAGTATGCTTTTTTGAAGCATTTTTCTTTAATTGCTCTTTTTATCCAATTTTTTTTCTAAATTCCTTTATTGCTGTTATATTTTGTTGAACAATGTGATATGGGAATAGGTCCTGCTTTGGTAGTTGAAGTTCCAAAGGACAAGAACATTACTGGTATGTGTTCTATTGGAAATACTTATGTGCTTTTTCATTTTGGAAAATTATGCAAAATTTTGGAACAATTTAGAATCTCTTCCAATCTCCCAAGAGGCAGAGAATGAGAATTACAATCTTGTCTACAAATTGTGTTACCACTGCTATTGGGATCAGATACCTTTCCTGCTACTGAATGTTTTGAACATATACATACAATTTAGTAATATTCTGCTTTGTTCCCCTCCAATGATTGTACTGACTAATGAAATCTACCAAATTCCAATAGCTGAAGTTATGAAATCTCTGAATATCCCTAAAGGAGTACGTCGCGTGCTTTTCAAAACACTTAATACTGACAGGTAGGATTTATATCAATGTTTCTATTTGTGGCTTTTCAACTTGTACATGATTACTTTGAAATTGAACCATTTGTCTCAAGAGGTTGAGATGATTCAGTAAATTACATGCTAACTTGTTCTTAGTTCTTGTTTAGGCAGTTGATGCACAAAACGCAGTTTCATTCGGATTTTACTGCGTTCATGGAGGATGGGGCAAAGTGGTTGGTAGAAAACACAAACATCAAACTTGTTGGTATGATGGACATTTTGACTATATATCTAAAGGGCTTATATAGGGGAAACCGTTTTTATCTTCATATATTAGAACACTTCCATTTATACTTATCAGCTAAGTCCCTTGTTTTTAATGAAATTAAGTTCAACAAATTTGATGAAATTGTACCTAGCACTCTGAAAACAATCAAAAACTTTATGCAATCCCTTTTCTCTGTTCTATTCTTTTGAAATGCTAATGTCTGTGTCAATACTTGTCTGATTATAGGGCTTGATTACCTATCTGTTGCTGCATATGTTGATGCCGCCCCAGTACATTATGCATTTCTGCGGAATAGGGTAAGAAAACCAAAATATGTCTCACTTTTTATGTCATGCATATCTATTTGGGGCATTCTTTATGCTGGTTTGAGAGAAATATGTCAAGATAAATGCAACTAACACTCCTAAAATGGTTTAGAAAATCATTCCACTTGAAGGCCTAAATCTGGATGACATCCAACCAGGAAGATATAGTCTCCATTGCCTCCCTCTAAAGATGGTTCGTGCTGATGGATGTCCAACAAGATGCATTCTCAGTTAAGATAGAAACTTTGGTTGAGAAGTAACTCTAAAGCAAGGCTATAAAATTGTTCCAGGAGATGAATAATAGCTCCAGAAGGTATAGAATGGAACAAACTGCTTCTGGACATCTGTGTGCTTATATTTGAAACCATCAAACCTCTGTAAGAAGCTAGTATCTTACAAAGGTTGATGTCCCGCAGCTATGAGTGGTGGAGATTCACAATTATATTTATGAATTATGTTGAGCTTCAATTTTGTGGGCGTTTGTTGCGATCTAAAGAGCATATTTCGTGGCTACATAAAACAAAACAAGTCATTGGCTACGT